GCCAAGAAAGGTTGGACCAGATGATCCTTGATGTCCCGTCCAACCTGGTATTCTATGATTTTATGATTATTTGTTTTTTAGGAACTCCAAGGATGTTTTGCCCAGCGGAGCAGCTTGAAATCTTCCATTCAAAAAACAAAAAAAAGTTTGTTTCTACCATTACAGCTGCTTCTTCTCTTTTGTCCTTTGACAAGGCTCCAGAGTTACTCATGGTCTTTCTTACAGTTTACGTCTGTAGTGATTAACACATATGTATTCCAGGTCTGTGTCTTCAGAATTTCCAGTAGCTCTGCAGACTGTGGAGCTTCAGGTATTTGCTGGAGACAAAATTCAAAATTAAGCCCCTTGTCACTTAAGAAAAAAAAACAAACCAACATATGAAAGAATCTATAGGACTCTATTTCTTCCTGCCTCTCCTTCATTTCCCCTCATATTGTAATCGAAGTCAGCATCCTCACTAAATATTTCTTTTGTGTATGAAATTCCACTTGTGGTTTCATTAGGTATATATTAATTTCCTGCCAAAGTCTCCTTTAGTATGTCGCTGCGTGGTTTTTTTTCTACTATCTGTTCATCCCAGAGGTGCCTGTGCTTCAGACAGTGATATGGGTAGAGGTTGGGGGAAGTAAACAGAGATTACTTCCAGTGTTTTTATTTAAAGCATTCAGATGCTTTTACAGAAGATGAAGCAATATTGAATAGACTTGCATCTTTTTATTTCTATTGAATGTTTCAGAGTTCTAGGGAAAAATCAGGGGGTTTTATCTTGATTAACATGACTTGCAGTCATAGTGTCTGGCTGCCCAGCTATCTTTCCTAATAAATTGAGAGCAAGCGTTACTGCAGAAGGCTGTGGAGGTACAGGGAACCAGAGGAAGGAGTGGAGGGCTCTCATCCTAGTCCTTGTACAAGCCACTTCTTGGCTTATCTTTAATCTTCTGGCTGATGGATACTGTTCCTGGTAAATGCTGAAAGCTATGAAATCTCTACAGTGTGTCCTTTGCAGTCACAAGAGTTTTTATATAAAGTGACTGGTGTATTTAGTCTGTTTGATTTTAAGAAAAGAAAAAAAAAAAAAGAATATCTGTGTTTATATCTCTTCCTTGTATCTTGAAACGGAGAAGAGTGTTTACGTTCACAAGCTTTTGGGTCCTTTTTCATTTCCTCTGTGGTTGTATGAGCTAGAGCTGTGATAAAGCTTTAGATTGTCATGCATTTTTTTTTAATTCTAGCAGCTAGGTTGTGAAGAAAAATGCTAAATGGCACACAACGTGGAAGTAATTCTGGAGTTGACATTCCCATGCACTTAAAATACTTTTATACTTTATTCCTATGCAGTATAAACTCTGAAATGTTGCTACTTTTTAAGATAAGTGCATTGAAGCAATATTTCTTTGGCCTGACCTAGCTACAGCAGAGTATGTAAATTCAGTTTCTTTCCTATTTAACATACTGTCATCAATCCTTTGTGTTAGGAGGGCACTAAGATACTTAGTGCTCCTAGCTGCTTCTAATCACTCAAGCTGTTGGCTGCTACCCTCTAAAGCAAGCAAGGGAAGCTGAGGGTGACCTAAAAAAAAGGCGGGGGGGGGGAAGAGAGATGATCAGAGTCATTGGAAAAATATTCAGTAGAGCAAGCTGACATAGAAACTGAAGTGAGCAGTCTCTGGAGTGATAAGGCTGTTAATCCTGCCTAGAGGATTGAGTTACTGTAAGAGAGTGATTCAGAAATCACAAACTGAAGTTACACTTCTTCATTGTTATTCTCTGTGCCACCTGCAGATTTACACACTTGAAAACATCTGCTGAAAGTCAATTTAGTGATCTCACTAGTGTAGCAAGTCATGCTTCATAAGAACAGGTCTGGAAAGTCATATCATATGCAGAGTAAATGGTTTGCTTTGCCTAGAGGGATGCCATTTGCATTGGCTGGTATTTTCAAGAAAGGTCAAAGAGCATAGACCAAAACCTTATCTTCACAGTGTAACGGGGCAGCAAGACTGTGAAGCTTCTCAAGGTCACTAAGCTGTCTGTGACTTTGCTTTAGTAGCTTGTTCTCCTGCTCTCTTCCCTCTACAGCTAGCAGTTGAAATGTTCATCCAGTCCTTTGCTATATCCTGGTCAGTTTATCTATTTTTTAAACATCTCTTTCTCTTTTACCCTAAAAAAGCAGAGAATGGCAGATAACCAGGAGAGTCAGATGACCATTGAAGAAAGGAAACACCTCATTACAGCTCGAGAAGAAGCCTGGAAGTCCAAGGGTAAAGGAGCAGCCAATGACTCCACACAGTTCACTGTAGCTGGCCGGATGGTAAAAAAAGGTCAGTGATGAAATGATCCTAATATAAATAAGCCACTGCTTATCTGTCTAGTCAAAATAAAGTCAAGCTAAAGCTATGCAGAAACAGTATCTGTGTTTAGCAAGAGGAGGACTGTTTATCTTCAGCCCAGTATCATGTCATGAGGCTGTTCACTCTAGCTTCTTGTGGCCATTGGTATTGATCCATTTTCTTCTGCAGTGTTGTACTACCATCCAGTTATTACTGGGCTGTCTCTGACCTGTGGTAGTCAATCACTTGAATAGCCATATCTTTTGTTTTTCCTTCTAATACAACCCAGAGGGCATGGTTGGATTATTCTTTCATATTTATTCTTCCTTTTAAAAGCCAGGTGCACTTCCTAGAGAAAAGTTGTGAAATCTGGTTGTTGCTATTGCTGGCACGTCCCCCGCTCCGAGGATCACAGGGAATGTTTTGCAAATGTGTTATTTTTATGGATGCTGTTTTGGACAACAACTTTAAGTGTTGTGTTTGGCTGAAGAAATTACTGGCCAGATTTCTGCACAGAACCAGGAACTAGAAATGACAAGGGAGCAATGTTGACATTTTTGGGATCTCTTGAATTCAGTCATTGTTGCCAGATGCAGTCATTCTTCTGAAGCGGACAGGAGTCTGAAGGCTGTACATGGTAGAAATATAGCTGGTCATGCAGTGCACCTGGAGTGATGATGATAGCTTTGGGAAGAAGGCACCTAAACTGATCTCTTGTGGTTAATGATTAATAAATTTTGTTTTGTTACAAGAACTTGGTTATTAAACACAACAACAATGAACCTTGAGTTAAATGACAACCACCAAAAAAAAAAATCATTGTGGGGTGTTGGCAGATAAACAGATATATGGTATTAGGAGTTACATCTATTAGTAACATACTTGAGCTGCTGCTTACATTGTTTTGCTGCTAGAAACACCACTGGTCAGTGTTTAAAGACTAACATATTTTGGAGGGTTGCTAACAAAAAGTGTTCAGTTGTCCACAGACTGCTTTTTGAGATTTTTTTTTTTTTTTTTTTTTTTTTTTTGCCAAATAGATTGGTCTTTGGAAAGGAATAGAAGGTAATAGCATTTGCTTTTCTTAATGGGAAAAGAAAAATACCTTGAAAGGATCTCTTTAGGTGCTGCAATCATTCTTTTGGAGAAGCAAGGTAATCCAGTGACAGGAGCATCAATAAAAGTAGCCCAAGTTGGATTTTATTCAGATGTGTGCTATTTTTGCTGCCTAAAAGAATAAATTATCATGATTTTTCAATTTAAGAGATGATGAGAAAGCAGTGCAAAATGAAATCCTTGTTATATACATGTGCACAGATGCTGTATTTTAATTGCTTCTTATGGCTGAAAATTTTTCAGTCCTAATTGGAAGGTGATCCTTTACTAACATCTGAAGCAGTTCTCAATGTGGTCTTGTGGATTAAGTCCTGGGAAAGCTACTTAAGAGCTGTGTCCTGTCAAATATGTCTTGTTGAAGGCTTTACTAGTTGACTTAAAACCTGCTGGAATTTTAAGTCTCTCAGGTAACAGGGAAAATTTTTTTTTGTGGAAAAGCTACTTGATTACATTCTAAATCTGTCTTGTTGTTTGACAATTATGACTTGGTAGGAGTTGCAGTAAAGATAGTGGAAATGTGGTTAGTATTTATTTTCCCAGCACAATATTGGTTTAATCTGATAAAAATAACTAAAGACTTAAACTATGTGGCTCAGTAATTAGTAAGCTGTGGCTAAGTGGAAAATAGATATTAGAGGAAAGTTTAATGTAGGTTCCCCCATTTACTGAATGTCTAGGCAAAAAGAGGTAATAGGTGCAATTCTTTGCTTCAGTATGCTTTTCTACCTAATAAAAAACATGAAACCTACGGAGTGCCATTTCTCTTACTGCAACAGTGTAGTTTCACATGAAAAGAACGAAACAAAAATAATCTTATTTTATCCACTGGGTCCAGAATGAATTGCTTTGTGATAGTTACTGAAAAGGAGGGAGGAGAGTAGAACAAAAGGTGGTAGTAGTGCTTGATATGGTGGGGACTCTGACTTCCATTTCCATGTGTTCTTAAAAACACAACAGGGCCCAAGAATTGCCGCCTAATCCAAAGACAGCATTCACAGGTCAGATGCATCCTGCTATGGGTATTAATAGAGATGGGTTTAAATTAAATAAAGGGGAGTGAGGGGTGGGGCGTGGGGATGGTGAAGGTGCCAAAAGCAAAATCTTGGTGGTTTCCCTGCTAATCATATGTTTGTGTTCAGAACAGTTGCATGTTTTTAAAATCTGGTTTGTGCTGGAACTGGAGTCCAGACTGTAGACCACATGAACTGCTGCTACCTTGAAAACAAGCAAAATGACTGTATTCAAGAGAAAGCATGTATCTTGTGTTAGCTTGCTTACAGACACTTGGAAACAAAGCTTTGTTCTTGTGAGTGGGACAGTTTCTGAGGCTGCTGTTGATTTAAGGAGCAGGCAGGGCAGTACACTGCCATCCCTAATACAACAGTTGTGGAAGCTGGGGAAGTATGGGGGACTGTAGGAAATGGCCAGGCTCATCTGCTTTCCCTAAGTAGTTTCCCCTGTCATCGCTGTTGGAAATGTGGACTGACCCGTGACTGCATTTCCTATGTTCTCTGTTCTTACGCAGGCCTGGCTTCTCCAAGTGCACTAACACCAGTAGCATCCCCTTTTAGTAACCGGCAGAAGTCTACCACTCCAGTTACAAAGCCCTTGGAAGGTAAGGAATAAAAATGGCTGAAATAGGTTCAGACTTTTTATTTCTTGTCAGTTAACAAGTTTTATTTTCTGGTTTGCTTAGAAATTGAAGCCAGGCCTGATATGCAATTGGAATCAGATATGAAGCTTGACAAGCTGGAGTCATTCTTGGGAAGGCTGAATAACAAAGGTTGGTAGAGTTACCAAAGGTGGCAATGTATCCACTGTCCGACTTGTAAATCACTTAAAGTACCTCTTAGTTAAAGTATCTGGTAACAGAAACCGAGTATTTCTTTGTTCAGACTGCACTTACTGATCACACAGTTTACTTTTATGATTCAGTCTTTGCTAAATTTTAACAAAGAAGCCTTACTGTATTGTATTACAAATGTACAATAGAATAAATCACAAATGCCAAAATAACTTTCATCTTTCTCTATACACCATGTACACCTTCTTCCTGAGAGCAACATTTCTTAAAACCAAACAGCTAGTTTGAACCATATTGCCATATACAGTGAAACAGCTTTAAATGTAGCTTAATCTTATTAAAATCCAGATAGGACACTAAGCTGTTCCCAAGAACAATTCATTTATCTTCCTGCTTTTTTGAAAACATGACTCTCTGTAGCAGCTCATACAGCTTCCTTGTACAGCTTGTTGGCTACCTATGACACTGGCTGGAGTTCTCTAGTGTTTCCATCTCATATGTCTGGCCCCCTTTTGTAATTTGTAGAGGGTCAAATACCATGAACACATATTCACATATCAGCAAAGGAGGCACTAGCATAGGATAATGATTGGGCCATACTCACTAGTCTGAAGTAGTGACTTTTCCACTTGTAGTTCTAATGGGCCTTTTCAAAGAAGGGAATTACATGGTTGGAGGCAAGATGGAATGTGCAAGACCATAAAATGCTTATGTCATCCTACCAAAATGATTAATTTTTGATAGTATCTAGCTTTTTATTCAGCCATATTTCCCAACCATTTTGTAGTAAAGATTATTGCATATGAATAGCAGTTACACTCCATTTTTATCATTCTTTTCCAACAGACTTTTCTACCATCTTTGCTTCAAATTCCATCAATTTAAATAAAAAACAATGAAAACAAAATGTCACCATCTCAGAAAAAAACCCCATGCCAACAACTACCAAACAAGCCATATTTGCCTTTTTCTAGAGTTAGGAACTCTAGTATGATTATTTATTGGATGAGGTGTTTGGTTTTTTCTGCAGTTGCTGGGATGCAAGAGACAGTGCTGACAGTTACAGGAAAATCTGTGAAAGAGGTGATGAAGCTGGATGATGATGAAACGTTTTCCAAATTTTATCGCCGTGTGGATTTCCCTTCCTCCTCAGTGCCTTTGGACCTTGATGAGGACTTTGATGCCATCTTTGATCCTTACGCACCAAAGTAAGAACTATTGGAATTTTTTTCCCTAGTTATGAATGCAGACATAGGGGTGGTGGTTCAGCTTTAAGTCATCTTGTAGATCTATTAGTACTGGGCTGCTCCATTTCTTCTGCCCATTTCTGAAATCAACTCTTCTGCCTGAATCAAGGAACTGTTCCTGATTTCCTAACAAATGCCATGCCACAAATCAAAGCAGATCTCTTGTCGTTAGGTGATTCTGACTAGGAAAATTAACTGATGGTTATAAACACTGCTTGTTTTTCAGGTTAATATCTTCTGTAGCAGAGCACAAACGTGCAGTTAGGCCTATGCGCAGAGTCCAGTCCTCAAGAAACCCCCTGAAAATGCTGGCAGCAAGAGAAGATATTCTTCATGAATATACTGAACAAAGACTGAATGTTGCCTTCATGGAGTCAAAGCGAATGAAAGTAGAAAAAAGTAAGCTAACAGGATGATTTGTACAAGACACTGTCTTGCTATTTTAATTAAAAACAAAACAAAAAATTCTGACATAAAAAACACAACTGAAGGAATGGAACGTATTCTTTGAGAGGCAGTAAACTGATTGAGGCATAAGGCTGAATGTAGACTGTCTAGAAGGTCTGGAGAGAAGGGCATGTGTGACTTCCTTAGGGAAAGCTACCTGCAGCCTCCTCCTGTGCATAGGTTTAAATATTTATTTTTAGCACAGTCACCTTGTGCAGAAAGAGACTTGTGCCACTGTGCCTGCAGGGTGAGGACAGGAGATCAAGGAAAGCAGATCTAGCATTATGTTATGCCTGGGGGGAGAGCTGGCAAGAATAGATGAACTCTTCTTCAGGTACATGGGCCTCAATTTTGGGTTCTAGTATTCTCTGAGAAACTGGAATTAGCCTCCTTGACTCCAAAAGATTAATTTCCATAAAGGATCAGTGCTCTGTGCATTATGCTCTGAAAGCACAATGGCTTTGTGCTTTCCCTGTGATGTTGCTTTCTCCTGACAACCAGATGGACAGCAAAAGACATCACTGTAAAATTTATTCAAAGGTTTGTTAAGCTACTTTTATCATTTTGGGTGCAAGTTTTCTTTGTTACATTTGAATCAAGAGAGATCATCTTCTAAATATTGCCTGTATTGATGAAAACACTAATTATATGTGTAATACTTTGTTGCCATTTGATGAGACGCGTTTCCCTGAGTTATAAATTCATAAAGTGCTTTGTCTTTGGTTGAGAAATAAGCAAAAGCAGCCAAGAATTTAGGCTTTAAGTTTACAGTAAAACATGACTGACACTTTGAAATGTTAATGACTGTTGCATCACACTGGCTGAAACAAATTTGAAGGGAATTTCAGTTAATTACCCTCGGCTACTCTGCTGTCCTTTATCATTAATCAATTATAAGGCATTGAAGATCTAGAGAGTACTTGACAAAACATTGCCTAAGACATGTTTTCTAGTGAAGTTGGTATTTCTACTAAATAACATAATTCTGACGCTGACAGTTTACTCTTGGATGATATCTAGAAACTTAGGTACTACTAAACCCACAAGGCTTTTGGGCTAGCAGTTAATCTGAGTTCAACCTGGTTTTGCTGTTGCTATTGAAAAGGAGAAAAACTGGAAATAATGGGGGAAATAATTTTTTTAATGCAACAACCAATTTTTTAATAACTTTGTCCCTCTTTTTGGTTTTTTGTGTGTTTTTTCTCAACTTTTTTTTATGTACAAGTGTCTACAAACTCAAATTTCTCAGAAGTAGCACTTGCTGGCTTGGCAAGCAAAGAGAACTTCAGCAACATTAGCCTGCGGAGTGTTAATCTAACAGAGCAAAACTCTAACAACAGTGCTGTGCCATACAAGAAACTAATGCTGCTGCAAATTAAAGGTATGCTGGAACTGCTTTTACTTTCCATACATAATAATCTGATTGTAACATATGGGAGTTGCTACCACAGTTGGATGCTTATTCTAGATCTCCATCTTAAGATTTATGTCCAAAACCTAAAAGAATAAGTGAGAACTATGTGACAAATGCAAAACCTTACACATAGATTTGCATTGTGGCCACTGGCATGTGTCTTCCAAGGAGAAAACAGAATATTTCAGGAATTCTAGCTATCTCCTGTGGAAGTTTTTGAATGGTCCCATTTTTCCAGTGCTCAGTGTAACTTGGAAGCAACATGACAGTGTTCTTGCTCCATTTCCCCTTACAAGGCATAGTAATGTATCTGATTCTGCAAAATAATAGCTACTTTTCTGGCAAAGTAAAATTCTTAAAACTTCTTACTGCCTACAGAAACCATGCCACAGCTTCACTTAAGCAAATGTAACGGATTATGGAATTTGGCTGCTGTCTGCCATTTGGTTAATTCATTTCTTTCCAGAAGGACACAAAGTTGTTAAAGCAAGAACAGGAAATAATAGAAATGTTAGTTGATAGGAGGCAACTATTATTTTTTTTGTTTCCTGTGAGTAAACCCTTTTTCCACAGTAGTAGTCTTTTAATTCTTCTTTAATAGTCGGTTTCCATATATTTTCCCAAATGTGCTGGGACTGTTTGTATTTCATTCAAAACAAATTAGATCTTGGCATTTGATAGCAGTAGTCAAAGGAATATAATTAGCTTTGTTTTCTCTTTAGGAAGAAGACATGTTCAAACAAGATTAGTTGAACCAAGGGCCTCGTCACTGAACAGTGGAGACTGTTTCCTGTTGTTAACTCCACATTTCTGTTTCTTATGGGTAGGAGAGTTTGCAAATGTCATAGAAAAAGCAAAGGTTAGTACTAGTTGGGTTTTTTTGCTACTTATTTTTCAAACTGTCACAGTGTATGTCTCTGACGTAATTGAGCCTTGGTGCCAGTTATCTCAAAAAGTGGCATATAACTGATGGTCATGACAGGTAGATATGCAGGATTCCTGTAAATGTGTTTTAGCCTGTGCACTGAATGAAAGCTGGCATAGGAGTGTGTAGGTTGTGAAGCTGCAAGAGAAAAGAGGATATCCTCAGGAAACAGATTTGCACTCAAACAAAAAATAGTCTGAATTGCAGGATGTCCTTTTTATTCCCATGTTCATTAAGATGAAGTCTTGTTTTAAGGCAAATGAAAGAATGAGTGTATTTCTGTAGTATTTTCTCTAATGTCTGTTTATTTAGTGTGACAAATAACGATTTCTCCTGCTATTTGCTCTATTATATCCTATCTACTTTTGCCTTCTTCCTGAACAAGATATGCACGAATATTCCAAGGATTTAAGCAATCCTATTCAGATTACTGTTAATCTCTTAGGCTTCAGAACTTGCAACTTTAATTCAGACAAAGAGGGAGCTTGGCTGTAGAGCTTCTTATATACAGACTATAGAAGAAGGAATAAATACCCATACCCATGCAGCCAAAGACTTCTGGAAACTCCTTGGTGGACAGACAAACTACCAGTGTAAGCATTCTTACAGTTACAGTATCTGATGTTTTATCACAGTAAAATAGTTGAGTTGATTCTCGTTAGTAAAGATAGCTGGATGTTAAAATTTTTTATTATTTTTGACAATCCTTTCCTTAAGCTGCTGGAAGTCCCGAAGAAGATGAAATGTATGAAGCTGCAATAATAGAAACAAATTGCATTTACCGCCTCGTAGAAGATAAACTCATTCCTGAGGATGACTACTGGGGAAAGGTGCCAAAATGCACCCTACTACAACCAAAAGAGGTATTGTGCCACTTACTGCTCCTGTGGTAAGTGCAGGAACATACAGCTGATAATGACTTTCAGTAACTGCAAATGCTTATGGAGAGGCTCACTAAAAATTGGGTCCTCTGTGTTTCTCAAAAGCTTCTGAACACTTTGCTGTCTAGAGTGTGCTGCAGGTCTCAAGAAATTAGATCGTGTTATCTTTAAAGTGAAATACTGTTTTAGGAAGTGTAAATCTTTTTGTCAACAGTGGCTCACTCCAAAGTCATGAAGTGCAAAATGGATAGCACTTCAGAAAAACAAAGCAAAATAAAAACCTGTTTTCTCTTTCAAGTATTTTTATTTCTATCCTTGGCAGACTTTTCCCTTTCAAACAACCATTTCACCCATCTAAGTAGGAATGAGAGCAGATTTCCAAAATAAGGACACAATGCATTTTCTTTAAAGTATTCAAGTTGCTGCCTGTTTGCTGAGCCAGTTACCCGTGCGGTATGTTCTGTAAGCCCTCCCCAGCTGCAGGACAAAGCATAGATCTAAATGTCAGAGAAACACCATCTCTCACAGCATTCTCCTAGAGAAGCTGGCAGCTCATGGCTTAGACAAGTGTATTCTTCACTGGGTGAAAAACTGGCTGGACGGCTGAGCCTAGAGAGTTGTGATGAATGAAGTTAAATCCAGTTGGCAGCCAGCTACAAGCGGTGTTCCCCAGGGCTCAGTTTTGGGGCCAGTCTTGTTTAATACCTTTATTGATGATCTGGATGAGAGGATTGAGTGCTCCCTCAGTAAGTTTGCAGATGACACCAAGTTGGGTGGGAGTGCTGGTCTGCTTGAGGGCAGGAAGGCTCTGCAGAGGGATCTGGACAGGCTGGATCGATGGGTTGAGGTCAATTTTATGAGGTTTAATAAGGCGAAGTGCTGGGTC